TCTGGCGTGGAGGACAGGAAGGCGGGTGGGGAGGGGGATATTGCTTGGAGGGAGAGTCCCCCTCCCTACAGGAAGCCACGACCACGTGTCATGGCAGGGAAAATGGCCGCGGATCCTGTTCGTCACCCGATCCGGCGTTCGCGAATGGAAGCAAAATTTTGCGAACGGTGCTGTTGGTGACCCGAATTGGTCGTGAACAGAAGCGTTCGTGACCCGAGGTACCACTGTACAGTACACTATGAAGAGAGAGAACGCTAACCTTGCTCAACGCGACTTCTGGCGTGGAGGACAGGAAGGCGGGTGGGGAGGGGGATATTGCTTGGAGGGAGAGTCCCCCTCCCTACAGGAAGCCACGACCACGTGTCATGGCAGGGAAAATGGCCGCGGATCCTGTTCGTCACCCGATCCGGCGTTCGCGAATGGAAGCAAAATTTTGCGAACGGTGCTGTTCATGACCCGAATTGGTCGTGAACAGAAGCGTTCGTGACCCGAGGTACCACTGTACTTGAGGTGGGATCTGAATAATGCAAAACAGAATGGAAGTCACTGTTTGCATAATTTTAAAACCAAATTACTATTGACAATCCAGTGTTGGATAGTTACAAACCTGTAGTTTCCTCACATTGTTCTTACCTGTCTTTGTTGCACTATAAATATTTTCAATGGGGAAGACAACACCTAGTCCATACAACAGAACTTTTGCAAGTGCTGGAATAAGCTGGGTTGTGGTCACCAAAACATTTACACAGTTAGGCCTGCAGGAGAGAAAGCAGCATCAACAAGTGAAAAGTAAGTTACAATGGGCCATTTCCCTTCCAGAACAAGGATCTTTGTTTTCTGCCTTATATTAAACTGGAAGCAGCATGTAAGGTTTGCCAACAACAAGTCCCATGAAATCAGTGATTAACACAGCCAGTAGTGACTAGACGTTTGAATGTTTTTCTCTCTGTGTAATTTGTTATAACTAAAACTAATCTGAAAATGAAATACGTCACAATTAATCACACACTGGGGACATAAATGCACTGACACTGTGTTCCTCCTGGGGTAGCCAGTTTCCTTTATTTCCTTTCCTGCTTTTCACAAAAGGTGCATCTGTAAGCCACGAATGGGACCTTTAGAACTAGTTCCTCTACCCAGACCCATACATTTGGAGGAAGATGTCCTTGAAATTATGTGCCTTTGGTCTGTCTGGAGAACACAAGAGGAAGTAAAGCTTTTACAGCCTGGGGACAACTTGTTAAGTCATTCTTACCGGGAATGTATCAAGTCCAGCGCTTTCAAAGCATGCGTTAGCCAGAGATCAGTGAGTGCTTCCAGTTCTGCTCTTAACTGCAGCCAGGTTTCCCTCTTGGGAGCTCCTATTAAACCTACAAACAGAGGAAGCAACATGTGTAGTTAGTTCCATGGGAAGACATGAAACCCTTTGTACATGGCTTCTGGAAAGCCATGGAATCACACGCTGGGATGAACCAGAAAACTTGAGCTCAAAAGGAAAGGGCCCCATCATCCAATGTTAATAATGTTATAATTAAAACAGGCTAAAACAAAAATTATATAGAGTAATACAGTAATGGATATTTCAGGTGATTCCTGAAGTCCCACACTGGCACTGATAAAGAGAGGAAGCATGGATTACATCTACATATCCATACTCATGCTTGATAATGATCATGCAATTGGAAGTGACCTTAAAGATCATTAGTCCAACTTCTGGCTGAGTGCAGGATCCACTATAGCATCTGACAGGTGACCATCTAGCAAAGGAGCACTCACCACTAAATGTGGCAGTCTGTTTCATTGGATGACACCTTGTACAGTCAGAAGACTCTTCCTCATGTTTAGCCTGAACCTCCTTCCTTGTTGGCTTAACCCATTGGTTATGGTCTACTCTCTGGGGCAATAGGGAATAAGTCCCTTCCCTCTTCTGTGTGACAAGTCCTCAGATATCTGGAGATTGCTTTTATATTTCCTCTCAGTTGTCTTTTCTGTAGACTAAACATACCCAGTTCATTTAACCATCTCACAGTACTTGGTTTCCAGATCCTTCACCCTTCTCTGAAGTTGCTCCAGTTTGTCACTGCCCTTTTTGAACTGTGGTGCCCAGAAATGGACACAGTATTGCAAGTGAGATCTGCCCAGGGCAGAGCAGAGTGGAACACTTACTTCCCATGATATGTATTCTACGGCACTGTTAATGTAATGCAAGATAGCATTTGCCTTGAGTCTGATTGGTGGGAACCACTGCCACCAGAAGTGCTGATATGAAATTGTTAATGTAATCTTTGGTTGAATATGCTGGTGGATAACCAAAAAGAGACCATTTAATTTAATTGTTAATATAATATTTAACAAGTTAATTTTGATATTATTTTATCTGGCTCACTGCTGTTGCTCTTTGTGCACTGCCTGGAACCTTTTAAGATTGCAGCAGTTACATTTTTTTTTTTTTACAAATAATATAAATACAAATAAAAAGATCTCCAAAGTCCTAAGCAGAGAGCTTTATCCATTTTTTTAAAATGGGGATGTTAGGAACTGGTTCACATGTTGTGTTTAACCATGTTCAGTGAATCTATCCACTGTAGCTTGCTTAATGTGTGAGCCAGGCCAATTATAATTTAGTCAATAAACTATGATTAAGCAAACTATGGCTCAATGTATTGTGTTAACTAGCCAATGCAGTTTGTTGGCCAATCAAAACTTTGCAGTGTTTCTCAGAGCACAGTCTCTCTCCATTTGCAACATATAACAAAAAGCAGAATAGACAGCAATGAGTCTTTTGTTCCAATTACTCCAAAATTCAGACCACAGCAAGCTTGATAAAAGTCTGTCAATTCTGTAACACCGCCGTTCATTTAACAGGAGAAGTAGAAATAAAATATTTTCTCTCCTTTGATATTTCCATCTCTCTAAATTGCATAGTGTTCTTTGATTTCCTCTAAAGAACACAAAAGCAGATTCTTAGTGAGATGAGAAGTTGGCTTCTCTTATGGGTTGGGGAGACACTTACCACCAACATTGTTTTTGTAGGTGTTGTAGAGTTCTTTCACCCGCCGGTAGCGGAATGCTAATTTCCTCATCCAATCAACTCCCCCGTGAACTCCGGAGCCCAGACAAAGATTTGCTCCAGCATTTGAACTGTGAAAACCATCTGCTGAGAAATTATATGTGCTGTGGCAAAGGAAGGAGGAGAAGGGGAAGAAGTGAAATTATAACCTAATTTCCCATTAGGATTAAGAAACTACCAAAGACAAATGAAGAGAAATTAAGACATGTTGTGGGCTGGCCAAGTTAAGGACAGAGAAGAAAAAATATCATGTTGTTCCCCCTTGCCCAACTTTCTCCTAGCTGTTCTGTCTTTGCCAATAATCTAGCTGTCATCTGATGTACCTTAGTTCACTGTTGATATAATGAATCAAATCCTCAGCAAGCTTCCCACACTTCCAGAGTTGACAAAAAAAAAAAAAAAAACATAAGACAAAGATCACAATTTACTAGTAGGTTCTTTGGTGCAAAGCCAACTAACTTAAGAGTTTGAATGATGAAGGCTAATTGCACAGTAGTCCCAATGCTACCTTCAGTTCTCTTTTTTTAAAAATTCTCCCATCATATGACTTGCACTAAGATCAAATACTCCATTTACTCATATGTCATAAAATAAAGTTTCCTTCAAGTCAAGTCTGACTTCTGTTAATTTTATGGAGATGTCCATATACTTTACTTGGAAAATAATATGTAAGTGGTTTGTTGTTGCCTTCTTCTGGGATTTCCCCCCCCTAAATTTCCCAGTCGTTTGTTGTGCTGGCACTTCCTGATGGCCTCCTTTCAGAATTAATCAGGTCTAACTCTGCTTAGCTTTTCAAAAGCTGGAGGATTAATTGAAATATAAAGGATATATCCATTTCACTTCTGAACCAATTTGCTTTTAATCACTGCTGGAAAATAACAGAATAATTTCCCTATCACAATACAGAAAGTGTAATATTCAAAAGCATAAAGGATCTCTCATCAAAGACATGAGTTTATGCCATGGCTTGTCTTCCAGACAGCAATATGTAGTATGGAGTCTAGTCATACTGGATGCTTCAAGACAGAGATGTCTTACCTTAAATCTTGTCCATTGTCATCTGATGATACATCATCTATGTGTATCTGGTCACAGTCCTGAAAATAATTTCAGAAACAGTCAGAAAACAAGTACTGCATTATAAAAAACAACAATGGAGCATTTTAATGCCACAGAAACTGTGCTGAGGGACGATTCCCCAACAATTTCTGCTCAATTACAGTAATCAGATAACAAGCAGCATTTCAGATTCAGCATTTCTGTAATCTTATATGATTAAACTCAGTCATACTCATAGACAATAAGATCACTCATAGAACTGTTTATTCACCGAAGGCTCCTTTGTTTCCTATTCATTCCAGGCAATGAAGGAAGATGAAAATAAAATAAAATATAAATAATTGTTCTTCAAGAAAAAAAAAAAAAGAAGAATTTGTAAACCCAAATTTGCAAATATCTTTCATTAATACATATGAAGTGTAAAAGAAGATCAAGCTATATATCTGAGCAGTAACAAATGCTAAATTATGGTATTTTTGCAAACTCAAACTTTGTTGAGTGTTTACAAGTTGCAGGGGTGGTGCTACCTATATTTCTTTTTCTCTGGATAAAACATTTATGGCATTTACATGGTATCTGCTTCATTTATCGAGATATAAATAACTTCAAACAGGTGAAAGTTTGTCATCATAGTACTTTTATATCATTACCATACAGAACATTTTAAGAAATTGGGAATGGCTTCTGACAAGATTTTATATACCCTCGCTAGGAACAGAAATTATAGTGACAAGAAAGGACAAATTATTGTTTCCATAAATCCTAACGCTTGTGAGAACCTAGAAACCAGAGGTGAACAACTCTTCTATGACAGATGAGGAAACATATTAAATATGTGGAAAGTAATATTGATGTTTAATTAAATCAATCATCACTGAGCTTAAATGTAGATACAATAAACGAAATTCAGGTTTTCTCCTGGCCCACTTTTAGAAGTATACTCATGGCATGATACTTTACGATGAAGTCTTTGGCTGAATAAAATTGTGCCCATTCCTACTGACCTATATGCAAAACCCAACGGAGATAAAAACCAATCATTGTTCAGCTGAACAGATTATGCATTTGGAGTGAAGCCATAATAAAATATGCACTTT